TGAAATAAAATTGTATTTAGACAAATATAACTTGGTCGCAAAAATTGTTAGACTAACGCGATACGTTCGATAATAAGTTTTGATGTTGTACCCCGTAACGTTCGCGGGTAAATTTTATACTGAACCCCCCTAACGTTCGCGAGTAAGCTCGCTGTTGTGCCCCGCAACGTTCGCGAGTACGGTTGGTGTTATATTCCCCTTTGGCTAGCGAAAAACTTGCGGTTTATATACGATACCGAGTTCTTTGTCTGGGGTACTCGCCTATGTTCCCTCTTTTGGAAGGGGGCATCACGCGAGGAGCTATATTGGAATAATTATGTATCCAAGATGGCCGCGGAGGGGAAGTTCTCTAGTAGGTAGTGGAGTACGTGCCTCGAACGTTGTAAAGTTACTAAAAATAGCTTCAATGTCACTGAGGACAAAGGGGATCGCTTCATAGTTATAGAGAGTAAACCAAATGAAATAAAAGAAAAATTTACGGTACATAGTTCAAGTTAAATATTAATTTGGGGAATGAAATAATTTTACTGATAATTTGAATTATTATTTTAGAAATCTTTAAGGAAATAATTAGGGTTTTCTCTAACCAACATAGTTCAATTTAAGGGTTAATCTTTTATGACGGGCCATAAAACTCTCATGTATTTTCCTAAAGTTTTTAAGGGTACCGCTAGAAACATGGGGTTAGTATGTCGAAGTTCCTTTGGTAAAAGGGGTAATGCAATTTCCCTTTTAAACATAATTTATGATGCTTCTATATTTTTTTTTATTATTGAGTTTTTCGAAATATCCCGTCCAGATGTTAGTGAAATGAATGTTTAAAAAAACAGGAATTATTCCTGGGAAGGAAATATTCTCGAACTAGCTCTGGGTTAACTGAGCACCATGGGATAATTTACAACGTATCGGTTAAAATAGTGACATCCTGGAGAAAGAGAATTTAAAATGAAAATTTTAAGTAGGAAGTAGGTTAATGTATAGACCGTGGATAATTGTAAAAAATATATTTTTTAAAGAACGAAATTATAAAAGTTAGTTAGGCGCGTTTCCTTTATTCTAAAATTATCGGATCCTTCCGAGAAGAACAGCCATGTTGGTAAAAGCGTACAGGGGGTCTCACTAGGGTACGCGTTCTTGATACCAGGGTACATAAAACTATGTAAGCCACCTGGATCTACTCGGATTGGTAGTTGGGTTACTTAAATCCCGCCCATTTGGAGAATGGGGCAACGTGGCCTAAGTTTTTCTTTGTTACCAGAGGGGACGGAATTATGGGAGCGAGTATCGTTGTTTTAACGAAGAATATTCTAGCCTCAGTGTTGGAATATTATTTATCATGAATGTAGTTTCTTCGGGTTTTAGAGTACTTTTAAATAATTTTGAGATTATTGTTCATTAATAAAAATAAAACAAAACTAGTTACGCTGGCCGTAACACAACTGATGATAGTAGTAGTCTCCTACTCTGTTTTGGGCATCAGTCGTGCGAGACTAGCCCTCACTACTGACGCTTTGGCACTGACGTGTTCCACTTGCTGTTTAAAGTTGAGACGGGCATCAAGCATCACTCCCAAATATCGGATATAAGGTTGTGATGTGATTTCTTGTTCGCCGACCTTCAGCTTGATGATTTCTAACACTTTTCTGCTGGATATAAGCACTGCCTCAGTTTTGTGTGTAGCCAGATACAAGTTTACCGTATTCATCCACCGATGGACTCGCTCAAAGGTGATGTCGAACATGTTGTTGATCTCGTCAAGGTTGTCACGGGGCTCCTTTATTATCTATTGAAGGCGCTCACCCTGACTATGGTTAATTATCGACGAATCACAGGGTGCTGTGATCTAAGATGCTCGCGCAGTTAAAATTCGATAAAATAAGTTCTGGGACCTAGAGTGGAAGTGCTTCAAGAGTAGGGAGAAGACAGCACCGAGGCAAAAGGAAGTTGTCGCACGGAGAGAAAAGATTGTGAAGACGAAACTCGACAAAGGAGCCTCGAAATTCTAAAGACACAAGATGACTAACAACGCCGAAAAATAACCAAAAGCAGCGTAGAAGTAAAACGAAGCAGCCATACTGGAGATTGTTGTAGCTGTTGCACCGGGACCTGATTACGAATTGGAATAACATCTGTAGTCTCCAGGAATTTATAACAGTCCCAGGTATCGAAAATTAACCTCTGTGAAATAAACTACGCTGCTCGAGGAATTCTAGGCACTGGCCAGATTCCTGCTTCCAATCACTAGATTTATTAATAATAATTGAATTTATTTAATATCTGAATTTATAAAGTCGAGGTTAGGAATAATTTAATCAAAATTTAATATTAAGAAAATTCCGAAATTTAAAATAAGTTAAAATCAAAATTAAACGAAGTTAAAATTATCAAATTAAATTAAGAAATAATTTAAGTTAAAATTAAAATAAAATTTATAAAATTAAAATTGATAAAAAAAAATCAAATTAGTGGTTAAGAATAAAAGTAAAATCCGTTAAATAAATTTTAAAATAAATTATAATTAAATTAAAATCAACACCAACATTAATTGAGTTAAAATTGAATTAAAAAATAAAATTTAACCTCAGTACTAAAACTATTCGAAAAGTGAAAATTGAAATTTATCAATCGTTGGAAATTAAAATTAATTATAAATCAGTAAATTAAAAGAACAAAATTATTAAAACAAAATTTATTATTAAATTAAATTGTTCAGGACTTCGATAAATAAATTTGTCCAAATTCCAGCAAATAATTATTGAGAAAATTTACATTAAAATTTTGACCTTGTAAAATATAGCATAAAATAATACTCGTTTCTCAAATCCTCTTTGGAATTCAAAATGGATGCTAAGCCGAGTAATCAGGCAGATTAAATTCAGTTAAAATAAATCTAAAAATTTTCTGTGATAAATTAAATAATAACAATAATATGAAACTAGAACTTAAATTTAATTTTAAATATTAAAAACCGGGATAGTTTGAGTTGAAATCCCAGGAAGGGTATTGTAAAGGCGAATTTTAGTAATATTGTTAAATAGAATTAAGTGAGTTATTTTATATTATAATTAGAAATAGTGTGATAATTGGATAAGTTGTTTTATTAAAAAGTGTGTGTGTGTGTGTGGAATAAATTTACATTATATACTCCTCGTTCACGGGCTGTCGAGGAGGTTAGTATTACCAGGTTGTCGACTAGTTTCATGGTATCCTCCTCTGTCCTAGTCGACTTCAGGTTCCTTAATCCCGTAGTGAGGGTCCGGGCGACAGCGAAAGGGCTAAGGACGGTTTGAACCTTGGGCAGAGGTCCGGGCGACCACCCAAGGTCAGATCTAGAGTCTTAGAGCGTGAGGGTCCAGTGGACAGCGCGATTTAGTTAGAAACTGCAGTATAGACGCTCCATATGAGGGTACTGTCAGGAATAGGGATTTAGTTAGAAACTGCAGTATAGACGCTCTATATGAGGGTACTGTCAGGAATAGGGATTTTATTAGAAACTGCGGTATAGACGCTCCATATGAGGGTACTGTCAGGAATAGGGATTTTATTAGAAACTGCGGCATAGACGCTCCCTCAGAGGGTGCTGTAGGATTAAGATATTTTGATATTGTATAAGAGTGTGTGTGTGAGATATAATTATAATATTCGAGGCTATTGTAAAAGTCATTTGAATAAATTTGGAGTTTATATTGAAATTAATTGTTATTATTTGTGTTAACCTAACTATCATCTCTCTCGACCCTTAGATATCTCTCATAGCTCGGACCGGTTCTGAAAACCGTGATAAATTAATAAATTAAATAAGGGGCGACATGGTAGCAGGAAACAAACCGTTACAAGGTGTTTAGCGACGATTACTACAGCTACGTCGTCTGCATACGCTACGAGTTTTACACTTCTTGGCAATTTCAATCTCAATAGGCCATCGTACATGATATTCCACAGCAGTGGACCAAGTACAGAGCCCTGGGGTACACCTCCGGTAATATCGTACTCTTTTGGACCATTCTTCGTGTCGTATTTAAAAACTCTATGGGTGAAATAGCTGGCCACTATTTTACACAGGTATTCTGGAACGTTTTTCTCTCGAAGAGCTTGCATGATGCAGTTCCAGTTGGCGGAATTGAAGGCGATTTTAATGTCTAATGCCGCCACCAGGCAATACTTCTTTGTTCCACCCTTTCATCTGGTTCCTGCGATCGCTTCTTTAGCCGTGCTAACAACCAGATTGATCGCGTCCAGGGTTGATCGTCCTTTCCGGAATCCATACTGGTTGTCTGCCAGGAGTGGGTCGACTACTGCATCTATTCGTTGATGAATTATGCGCTCAAATATTTTACCCGCCGTATCTAGAATGCAAAGTGGTCAGTAAGATGACGGTTCTTCTGGTGGTTTCTTCCCTTTAGGTAACAGTACCAATCGTCGGCTGACTATACAAATGATAACCCCGGCCCATTGATGGTAGTTGATCATCGGCTGATTAATGGCCCCAGCAATGGGCCATGAACTATTTAAATTATCGGCTCATTAATCATTTTTAATTATCGGCCGATTATTCCAACAAATATTGGCCCGTTAACGGCAAATGAACAGAAAATCATAAAAAATAATAATATCATTATGATTTTTTTTTTAGAATATTTTTATATTATTATTGTTTTTATTTCAGAATATTTTTATATTATTGTTTTTATTTTAGAATATTTTATATTATTATTGTTTTTATTTTAGAATATTTTCATATTATTATTATTATATTTATAAACTACATTATTAATAACTTTTTGCGGAATAATTTGATTACTTAATTAGAATAGTTGTTTGATAACTGCATAAAAATTTAACTGCCTGTTTTTACTCAAATTTTTAATATTCTAGATAATTCTTATTAAAATGAAACATTATGAACAACGACTTTATTTGCACAAGTTTAAAGTAACTTAAGTTTTTTTTTAAGTTTTAAATTTAAAAAATCAAAAATATAAAAATAAAAAAAAAATTTATGCCGAGAGAGATCTTTCTTTTCGCCCATGCTCTCGGTCATTATAACCAGATAGCCATTTCCCAACTTTTCCGGCAAAATTTTTGCATTCCCCAGAATCACCAAATTTTTCGGTAACTACATCTGTGACAAAAAAATAATAAATTTAATTCTACATACTTAACACTTTTAACACTTTTGATAAACATTGATTATTTTTACAATACCTCTCATGCATTTATAAGTTTCCGTACTACTGAAGTTGAGTTTTCCAACTCCTTTTATTATTTTTCCTGTCCCTGAATAGTGTGATTCAAAACTTTTAGTCAATAAAGCAGATGCCATTTTACATATACATCCTCTAGCAGTAGTCTGTCCATAAATTAAAACACGAAGAAGTACCATCTGAAAAAAAATACATATGAATTTGTGTGAAATCAATAAATTATAAATCATTATTGAATAAAATGTAAATTTTACCAATGCTTCTTTTTTTGATTTTGAGCTTTTTACGTCGTCATCAAATTCCTTAAAATCTGCTAAATCTGCAAAGGGTAATTTGACATCTAATTTATATATATATATATATATATATATATATATATATATATATATATATATATATGATTTATGTGAAATCAATATAGTGTAAATCGTTATTAAATTAAGTGTAAATTTTACCAATGCTTCTTTTTTTGAATTTGACTCTTTTACGTCGTCATCAAATTTCTTAAAATCTTCTAAATCTGTAAAGGGTAATGTCACATCTAATTTCATTTTCGCATCAGATAGGCTAAGTTGAGGAGTTCCAGGTAGATTATTAGCCAACAATGTATTTTTTAATTCGTCAAAATTTTTTTTCAAATCATACTGTAAGCTCTTTTTTTCACTAAATAGATTGCGTTTTATTGAATCATCTAGATCACGTAGCTTTTTGTCCAAGTAGACCTTCAAAGATTCTAGAAAAAGAAAAGTATCTATTAAGAAATCAAACACTTCATCACTTTCATGAATTGGCCCCAGTATATTGTTATTTATATTCTGTGATTCATCTGTAAAATAAATTTATCAAGTTTTTAAATTTAAAATATCTAATTCGTTTAATTAATTTTATATAATCATTATTAGTAAATCTTTAAAAATATCCTATTCAGTAATTTAATACTCGTAGAATCAGAAAACTTTCAATAAATAAATAAATTTTCCAGCTAGTCAAATTAAATTAAATTAATAATTTAAATAATTTTCATTTAAAACACTACTTTTTTAATAATGAACAAAGTTAATCATGTTTTGATTAATTATTTTTACCCAATAACTTAATTATATTTATTTTTTTTTATATAAAAAATCAGAGTTTGTTTTTTTTTTTTTTAATAAAAAAAATACCGTACCATCATTTAGTAGTTTCTCAAGTGAACTTTTTTCTTTGCGGGAAGTAGAGATTCGACTTGTATTATTTTGCATAGGTAATATACTGCGTAGATCTTTTCCAACTGCAACGTTACTCAGTATTTTTGGCTTTGCACTGCCGGTGTGCTTATTACTTTCGTCGTCCGTGCTCTTCAGATCCAAAGTTGTAAACGCTCGATTTAAGCGTCTTTGTCCTTGTTTATAACTATCTATTTTAACATAGATTAAGTCTCATAATATACTTATTATAATTTTACTTTTTATTAGAAATTCGTCAGAAAAATATCTATAAAATACTTATTATATTTATGATAGTTGATATTAAAGAAAGGTTTCTAATGAATTTAAAAAAAAAAAAAATTACCTGCGTAACTCAGAATTTTGATGGTGTATGTGGACCAATTTTTTTTTGCATCACGTAATTCTCGTGCATATTTTTCCAACTTACAATAATCGTTAGATGGTGGGTATCGGCATGAAAATCCATCACTTTCTTCCGTGATCCATTTGTTAGGAATCAAATCAATATCTTTTTTAACATTTGGATCACTAGCTGCGAACTCAACTACTGCATAAATATTTTTTTCACCAACTTCCGTCATCTACAAGTAAATATATTAAATCAAATCATTAATATTATTTAAATCACTTTAACCTTCCCAATTATAAATATTGCTTATTTATCACGTCAATCACTATTTAAGATGTTAAGAAATTAGCAAATATCTAACAATTATATTTTTTTTTCATCAATTTAATAAAAGTAACACAAATAATTTTTTTAATTGCACTTAGAATTTTTTTAATTTTCTAGATATGAAGTTTTTTAGAATTAAAAAAAAATTTTGATAATCTTTAGATGTCGGTTAACCTAATTTTTATTTATTTAAATTAGATAAACAGACAGAAAATAGATAAGACGATAAATAATGTGTAAAAACTCTCAAAATATTAATTAATAATCAACTTATTTAATTAGGGGAGGGGGGGGGCAAAATGGGGTAGGGGTGACAAAATGGGGTACCCCCAAAATTTCGTAAAAAAAATTTTTTTTTCCAAAAAGCTTTTTTAGCTTTCTAAAATATATTTTAACGTCATTTCCTACAATTTCAGAGGAAAAAAAATTTTTTTTACCTGCAGTAAAAAAATTTTCGTCAAATTCAACACAAATATTTGTGTTACTGACTGTTTTTACACAAACTAATGTCAATTCTACATTCTAGTATGTTAAATCAACACATGAGAATGTAAAATTATACACACTAGAGTGTAATTTGCTACACAAAAATTTTTACACTTTACAAATTGACGAAAAATTTTTTACTGTGCAGTAATTTTCATCGTCATTTTGCATCATAATATTTTTTTTTTCACATCTAAGATTTTTTTTCTAAATTTTCAAGTTCTCACTTTAAAAATAAATGATTTTAAAAAAAAATCGGGAAGTCATTGGTTCCAAGCCAATTTTCGAAAATCAAGTTCTAATCTGATCTCCACATTTTTAAGGTCCTAAGAAGTAGCTCTTAATACTCCTACGAAGATTTCTATCAAGGTGTGTGTGTGTGTGTGTGCACTGATAGAAATTTTAACTTGACTAAAGAGCAAAAATCTTGAACCAAGAACACCAATTGGAAGAAAATGAATTTCTTGAGACAAGAAGAAAAATTCTTGAGTCGAGAAAATTTTCTTGGTTTAAGAATTTTTCGTCTTGCTTCAAGAAATTCATTTTCTTCAAAATGGTGTTCTTGGTCCAAAATTTTTGCTCTTGAGCCGTTAAATTTTTTATCAGTGCGCGAATGGCTATGAAACTCAGTGTCTTTTAAGGTAGTTGTCATGGTATAATATTGTCAAAAAATGAGAGATTATACGCACCGCAAAAGTATATGAGCTTGTAGCTAAGTAATCCATCATTTTTACGCAATACTGTAGCCGTGGAGACGCAACCCATACAATTGTTTCTGACCGACTCCATAGTCCGTCCATAAACTCCATAATTTTTAATTGAATTCATCTCAGGTTATAGGTTGTCAATCGACCAAATTTCTAAGGTAATTTTAACATTATGTCCTTAATAAGTATACAAAAATTTAGATTTTTCTGACGGTATGTTTTAACCATGACAACTACCTTAAACTAAAAACCAATGTCAAATTATCTTTTTTGGAGAGTGAAATAAATGGTTTTTAATTTTAAAACATAATACCACAAAATTAACTCTCTTGTTTGAAGACAATTCAACGGTTATGCGCCCTCCGTCGGAAATTTTAAACACTACCTTTGATCAATAAATTATATGTGGGCATATATGACCATATTAGGCCTCAATTCTTCTAATAATGACAAAAATTTGTTCCAAAAATAAAATCTAAACAGTAAATCATATTCATACTTAGAAAATCAATTATTAAAATATCAGCTTTTACAATTACATACTTTCAAAGCTTAAACTTGGATAATTTTAAATAAAATTTGTTATAATTTCTTCAGTATTATGCTACACATCGGATAAATTATTTTAAGTGCATCAATACTACTGCCCGTTCCTTTTCTTTCTGCTCTGTTCGTTTAGGTTCTGATTTTTTCGTTGAGATAGTATAAAAAAAGTTACAGATTTGTGCTGACAATTTTTGATTAATTTTCGAGCGAGAAAAAAACATTGTCGTGCATCTACACTGATAAAAAATTAACTTGATCTAAGAGATAAATCTTCCAGCCGCGATCAACATTTGAATCGCGCAAAAAAATTTTTGAACTAAATAATCAAGAATTTTTCGTCTTGATTTAAGACGACAAAATTCTTAAAAATAATTTTCTTGGCTCTATAATTTTTTCTCTTGAATCAAGTTAATAATTTTTTCAGTATAGTAAACAACCAACCACATTCGTTTTTACAAGGAAGACTAAAATTTTTTTCAATTGATTTTAGAAATAAGTTCTTAAAAACATTTCGACTAGAAAGTTTCTGAAAAAGACTCAAGATGAAGGTTCAAAGGATTTTCAGTAATGAAAAGAAAGAAATAATGTAGAAAATGACCTCGCTGGGTGTAAAAAGTTTAAAGTCTACCCCCTAAGATATATGTAACAACATCCGAGTGTTTTTTTTTGTCGTTTTATGAAATTAGGTCGACCCTGAGACTTGCCGCTGTATGGATGTGAAAGCTTTCGACGTTCTCGTGACAGTTAATGAACTTTGAATTATGCAAACTACTTTTTTTTAATTGACTCTGATAACCCTGCCGGGTGTATTCGTGTTTCCTTTTTAAC